CTTTGCGCTTTGGTGTGACTTTGACTTTCGTTGTAATTTAACGAGATGGTTAAATATTTTTCCCTTACCTAACTTTCAGAAGCGTTGTGCGTTACTACGCCTTAATAGGTGGTGACCAGTTTTAAGTTTATCTTTAGAAGGCTCGTCGAATTTTCGAGCAAATTTGGCGTAAGAAATATTAATGGCGTCGATAAAAATAATTTTGTATCTTTAGAAATAGAACCTCTAAATTTTTATCTCGAGCTTAGCACTTGCGTTTATTGGAATACGTTACATTTAAATAAAACACATTTTAGCCGTGGTCATGGCTGCTGTATATCATCCGAAATGTCGGGCCGTAAAATAATTTTTAGATAAGTTTAACAGATATATATCGCATTTAAAACCGTTAAAGTGTTTTATTTAAATGTGTACTACTCTAAACTACAGACAGTATAGAATACAGGTGTTACGTTCTGAATGACTGATAATTGTAATAAAAAAAGTTTTCATCTCAATATAATTTTTACATTCATGCCTGTAAAATGAATGTACAGTATTTTCTGCCCGACTGAATCAATTAATTCTCTTACCAAGAATCATACTTGGAATATAACCATGGGATAGAGACGGTCGTTATTATTTTACAATTAGCGCACTACACAAGATGTGTCTTTGTGACCCTTCTTTTCATCTTTATAAACTTAAGCTGTTACCCACGACGTCGCTCGCGTCCGTCGTTCTTGTAAATTAATATTAAAAGATGGACATATAACGCCGCGGCCTTTTTTTAGACAAACAATAAAACAGAAATCATTCTTTCATAAATATTTTTTGATATCTTGAACCGTTTTTGTAGCGTACGCATTGGAAACCCTTTCCTATTTTTTCCACATTTCCCACTGCCTCTTTTCTCCTATTAGTCACAGCGCGATGTATTAGCTTATACTCTATAGCCTTCCTCGATAAATTCTCTTACCAACACAAAAATTAATTTTCAATTCAAACCAGTAGGTCATAGAACAAACTCTTCAGTTTGATAATATTAGTATAGATTTGATGCAGGATACGCCTACTCGTAATAAAATTTCCCGTGGTAATTTGATTGCAATAAAACGTCGAAAATAGATTTGAATGTAGCGAAATCATCAAAACTTATTGAGGCTTGTCGCATTCAGACGAAGGCTTCTCCTTGACATAGATAGCCAATGCTGAAGCCAGTTTTAATCTTTCCTTATAAATATCACGTGGGTGAGATCTTAACCTACTCATACTCAACTATTTATTTAATTTGGGATAAGATATTATTTGTATAAAAGATATATTAATTTATACAAAATATAAAAATCGATTATAAATTTAAAAAAAATAGCGACAGGTACGTCAAATAATTTTTCTAAGCTGCAAAGCAGACATAGAACCTTAAAACGCAAAAATAAGAAGCGCGAGTTTCAATAGATTTCGTGTAGAATGCGATAGCTTAATCGGTTAGTGCAAAAACACGGAACGCTGTGGATGCCGGATCAAGTCCTGCTCTTGTCGATTTTTTTTTCAATTAATTTTCGATTTCTAATCTATGTTTCTATTATATTGAAATTCCGTCCGAAACACGAATTGAAAAAGCAACGACACTTTAATCGCATAGCAGTTTCAGTCTGTGGAATTACGAATAGCCAAAGATAAAATACGTCGACAGCGATTGATTGTTGAGACGTTATATGGCTGGGCTATTTTACCATCCATCAAATGAATCCTATGTTTCCCTTTCCTCTTTATTACAAAAAATACATAAAAAATTAAAAATATTAATGGTTGTTTGTTAATCTTTTATTCTATTCATCGGTAACTGGCACCTTAAAAAAAAACACTAAGAATATTAATCACGAAATATTACAAGTTCCCGAGGGATAAACGAGGAGTGACGCCTACTATTTATATAGATAACGTTCTTTGAAACTATATAATAGTATAAATAACTGTTCAAAACGCGAAGTATATTTGTTAATCTTATTTAAAAATTATTTTAACTACGACGTTTCGGGACATGGGTCACGAGACACGGGTCTCGCGATGACCACGACTGCTGCAAAGCATCCGAAACGTCGGTCCGTAATTAAGATAATTTGTAAATAAATTTAACTTAAATATTTCACGTTTTTAACCGTTAAAGTGACATATTTAAATGTGTACTATTCACGTAAACTACAAATAGTATTTAATTGTATAGTTCTGTTTCATGAATTTTCATTTTTAATGCGATACTATATTTTTCAATATATAATGTGGTCAAATCCTTAGGGGCTGAAGTCCGAAGTCCAGTTTAGTCTTTCTACATTTTCTCGACTGCTAAGTTACTCCCAAGACGAATGCAGCAGAAATAGAGTGTTTCGAAATAGGTATTAAATTTATATATTTTTTGAGATTAACTCTACACTTGTTTTCTTCATAAAGGAATGTCCTCCTTTGACAAGCATGGGGCTTAACTGTTCGAAGGTAAAATACCCCAGCTAACATGACTGACATCTTTGACTATCTACAGATTTTAACAAAACGCGATAAAGCTTCACGGCTTCATCTTTGAACGGCGGTTCACGACCTGTTGATTATATTAGCCGTGCGTGTTAGCATTAGACCAATAAGCATGACATATTAAACATGATGACCACATGTTTACTAATGACCTTTTATTGGTCACTGTAAGTTTGTTGTTGTAAAATTGTGTAAGGCTACGTTCAAGTTACAAGCGGTGCGTTTAAAAACGCGCGATTATAACTTCCTACAACTTTTTTAAAACCATGCCTTAGATAAACGTGCCCTGTGATATGGGACACGACAGGTATACTTTATTACGTTCAATCTGGGGAAGAAATTCAAAAAAATATTAAAAAACAAGTGTAACATTACTTTATTCAACATAAACTTGACATATACTAAAATTTATAAGTATCAACAATAATAATTCTTATGAAAGAAAATTATCATAAACACTTCTAGTATATAAATAATAAAACTAAGCGATAATTGTAACTTTAATTAATTAACTTACTTTCATTTGTTAAGTTTTCATTTGTATATCAAATTGGAATTATATCAAGCAGTTATTTTTAAAACAAAAAGGGCCAAACGACCATTAAAATTAGGTATCCTTTGCTCTAAAAATTTACAAGACAAAATAAACTTGAAATATTCTCATAAAATTAAAGCAATCGAAGAGGTAAGAAAAGCCATCTTAAACACAGATAAAAATCATTTATATTATAAAAAGTATACTTTGAAACTAATTATATAATATTTCTGATATAAGCTGCATATTTTTACTCCTCTTATACATATACATTTTTATACAAGTGAATTTTTTTATTAGATGTACACAACAACACCTATGAAATTAAAATTAATACATTGAATTAGATGAATCGCGTAAGGCAATATAACTAATTATACAAAAAACATTGCTGTTATTAAGTCTATTTCTACATTATCACAATGGGTTAAAGCTGCGTGATATATAATTTCATAGAATCTACTTAAAATTCTAATAATTAGGCGCCTAAACTTAAGGAGTTGCCATTAAAAACTTCGTCATAAATTTCGTACCCTTAATGGTTTCGTGGAATACGATCTCCGGTTTCTTAAAAGATAGATATTTAATTACAGACAACATAGATTGTGCTAAACTTATTTCTATCATGAAAGCTTATTTATCGCTGAGACATAATTGTGCGTTTCACGATAAGCAAATAATACCTGAATACTTTTAAATAAAACAATTTGAACCGGTTTGAAATGCGAATTATAAATTATTTTACTTATTTTTAACTCGCCTCATATGGGATGTTTTTAAAATATCCTTATCAGTAGTAACAATTAAAATAAATACAAATACATTAAGTTTATGAAACAGGCTGCAGTAAATTGTATCAAACTGAAGCGAAATGTAATATGTAATAAAAACTAGACAATTTTTCGATATATTTATGTGACGAATTTTAGTGACGATATATTTTCGATACAATTTTCCGACACTAAAATTTCTACACTAAACAGTGATATAAATCACGGTCGATTTTCGAGACGTGTCTCGTAGAAAACTAATAGAATTTACGACTTATATTTGCTTTTTTTTATTTTCAGAATTGCTCTCACTGATGCAGACTAAGGTTAGTGATCATTTCTTTTTTTAATTTTTCGAAGATTAAGAATTCACAGCCATATTTACATTATATTTTAATGTTATAGTTCTGTACTACTTTAGCTTACCTTTGCTTTATATTTAAAGTTAAACACACTCAAGGTGAACACAACCGTACCACTAAATAAGAAAAAGCAAATCAACAGTTTATAAAAAAAATATTAATTGTTTTCTCTAATTTTATTACGTTCATATGTTAAGTGAGTTACTGGCATGAATAATTTTAATAAAAAAGGTTTAGCGTAAAAAGTTCTGGTTTGTAACCCGGTACCGCCTCGTCACGTTTTGTTCCTCAATCTTAATGTTCGTGACCTGCCCATCAATGATTTTCCGCCACGTTTTCCCAGAGCTCCATGTACCGTGGTGCTTCTGATCTTCCTACTACGCTCCTAGTAACCACAAATATCTCAGATATCTGTTATCTTTGAAATAAAAAACTTAAATGGTTTAAAACGCGAAATATATAAGTTAAATTCAGATTAACTACGGCCCGACATTTCGGATGCTTTGTAGCAGTCAAAGTCACAGATAAGTAACGAAAGACAAGATAGATCGTGTCTCTTATATCAAAGTAAAAACGCTTATCTTCCTGAGAATGTATCTAAAGTAATCCGTCATATGCTTTACGCAGAGAACCATATTTAGACTCTGATATAGGTCAGAAAAATGCTCATAGACATGGTTCAAGCGTACCTACGAATGCCTTCACGATTACTTGATTTTTGTTAAAGCCTTTGTCCCAAAAAAGAATCGCTTTGAAAAAATATACATATTTTATATTAATATAGGTTCCACATACGTACTTACGTATGCGAGTTGAACATTAAAATCAATACGATGAACTCTTTGTTTTTAACAGCAACACAGGCCAGTACAATGTAACGAACAAAAGGAATAAGGCTGGAAAAACTATCCTAGAGAGTTTGTCTATTTCCCGCCACAATACTCGTTCTTGTCCGGTGTCTGCGTCCAACCAGGCGACCTGAAAGCGTGTACGTTTAATTTTAATAAAACGTATGTAAAAATGTGGAACGCAAAATATATTAACTTATTTTTAATTTATTTTAATTATGGCCCGACGTTTCGGATGATATGCAGCAGCCGTGGTCAAGACTTTTTTATGTACTACTTGCGTAAACTACTAAAACATATGTTTAAGAGTTAATATTAAATATTAAGTCTATTTTACTATTAAAACACAGTCTTTTTCTTTACATGAGAATAAATTTATTTTTAATTTACAAATTCTAAAAATCAAATAAACAATAATATAAACAAATTTTGAATAAATATGAATTGATTGATATTGCTTCGCCGCGTGAAAGAGATACGAAAACTGGGAGGTAGGTGTTCCCTACTTCCCAATTTTCTTATCATACCGCATATTATTTGTAAAGTAACTTTTGCTTGCATCGTGCATGTAAATACACCATTTTAAGAATAAGCAGTCAAAAGTAAATTTTCGCAAAGAGATTGACTTTATCGTCACATATTCCGTTCCGCCTTATGTATTTTCATGAGCAAACTCACTTGCAATATACTTTGCCTCCTCTCGACTCCCACCAGATGCGTAGGGGCGGCAGGGGTTGAATGCACCGCAGGTGTACTCGCCGGCGGAGACGCGGGCGACGTGAGGTCGACCTTACGACATCTCACCCCGCTTCCCTCCCACGCTGCAACTGTGCCACACGATCCTTTTTCCCCATTTATTCGCTGAAAGTGATATCACCATACACGATATTGTCTCCTTACTAATAACACTAATGATAAAATATGGTTATTTGTGTTATGGTTACATGGTGCACGTGTTTTAATTAATGAAAGCAAATCTAAACACTAGAGATTCTAGTGTACCTAGTCTCTAACTACAGCTGTGCAGGCCTGTTCTAATTCTGGCCATGTCATCGAGTTTTTTAAATTGATTGAATTGATTTTCAATTTTTAAATGATAGTGCCTTCATGTGCAATAACATATAAAAATAAGAAAGTTTTCAAACGTTATAACTTTGTAATTTCATTTTCAAATATCAAACAAGTTGAAAAAATTCGACGATGAGGTGTAGGACTCGGTAGCTCAATTGGTAGAGCAACGGCACGGAACGCCGGATTTGGATATACATATAATTTATTTTTGCAAAACTTCTTTTTATCTTTATAAATTTAAGCTTCTTGCAAGTTAATGTTAAATGATACATACATCTAGTCGCGGACATTTTTTAGATCTATTAAAGAGGAGTCATTCCTTGGAGTACCGGAATCTTTTAAAGCCTGTAGACTTCCTCGATAAATGCTCTAACAAACACAAAAATAGTTTCAATTCGACGCAGTAGTTCCTGAAATTAGCGCGTTGAAACAAAAAGCTCTCCAGCTTTATTAGTATAGATTTAGCTATTTTTTACATACAAAGTTCTTCAGTCAATATCGAAGTTATACCAAACAGACTATTCCGCTGTATGGTTATTTCAATTGTATTCGGCGCGTTATTGAAACAAGTAAGCGATGCTTTAAACCCCACGATTTAGGGCAAATATTGACGTTCAAACATTCCGATGGAAATAGAGAATGGGTCTCAGGCGAAATCGAAACAGAAAACGTTAATATCAATGAGAATTTGCGCGTCACGACCAAAGTTAATATTAAGATGTTATGTTTATGAGCACACAATGTTTTACAAAAAAATTGTGTGCTCATAATTTAAATTTACATCTTTGGCTTTTCTTCTTTAGCCCAAAACCCTTATTTACGAGAGAGATCTTCACAAATCATCAGTAAGTAATCATTTAATCTGTTTAAAACTTACAACTGGAATAATTCTCGGTATAGCCTCAGCTTTGGACTTGTTCATTTGATACTGTTTGTCTAGCACCTTGACTACCACGAACTCACTTAGTGCCGCAAACACGAACATCATGCAACCAGCCATCCAAAGATCTAAAGCCTGAAAGGAAATTTGTAAATAATACATTCCATAAACTCCTTAAAAAGCATATTATACTCTCCTTATCCTTGGTTTATACACTAATTTTATAAGCAAATTGAACAATGATATCAGTTTAATAAAATACTGTCTGTAATTTACGCGAGAAGTACACACTTAAATACAACACTTTAACGATTTAAAACGCGATGAGTGTTAAACGTTGGGCCGTAGTTCAAATAATTTAAAAATTATTCAAACTAATATACATCGCGTTTTAAGCCGTTAAATTGTTTTGTTTAGTTTTAATACGTTTATCTGCCTAAATGGAAAGGCGATATATATGCTTGAAAGCCGAAAAAACATTAGTCCATTTGAGAATTTTCGTCATAACGTAAAGTTTCGTAAAAATAATGTAAACGGAATAAATACTTTTTTAAATTAAATTAGATCTTAATTATCTAAAACAGTGTATAAATTTAATAAGTATGGTATTTATCTTATACAATATTATGAATCTGAAAGGGTATGTGTCTGTATATTTGTTTGTCCGTCTTTCACAAAACTGGGCGACGACTTGACGTGATTTATTAGGTGAAGATATTAAAAAAAAGTTGAAATGGATTTTTTTAATTAGCTACTTTTAGTCTCTTCCTTCCCTAGCTGGTAGTGGAAGTAGATATGGAGAATTCCGTACTTTTTTGTTAGAAAACTAAAGAGACTAAAAACTGTGCATTATTTTTTTTAATCCCCATAACCCAACCAATCATTAAACATCTATTCTATATTCAACGTCCAGTTAGTATTGATGGCCCCGCGCCATAATTATTCAAAAAGTCTGTAAAACCACGTGCAGAAGCTAGTGACAAAAAAAACCTGTAAATGTTTGCTTACCTTGACATAAGCCACGGGTGGTATATCTGCTCTGAGACCAGTAAACATCGTGACTAGAGTTAGCATACAGGTCACGAGAAGGGTGACCCTTCCAGGCACTGCGTCCAGATCCAACCAGAAACTGAACCAAGACAGCATCACGACGAGGGAAGAGGGGGCAAACGTCTGTATTAAATGGTGACCGATCTGACGCTCGAAGCGAAAGTAGACTACCAGACGAGAGAAGTTACCTGAAAATTAATATGCAATACTTTGATGGTAATTAAGAATTTTAAATCTGAAGTATTAATAAAAAATCAATAATAAATTGAGAGAATATACGACTCGGACAGGATTCGAACCAAACTCTAATCAATTGAGCTACCGAGTCCTACACGTCATCGTCGATTTTTTTCAACCTATTAATACATGTACCTCTCGCGCAACCTAAAGGATTAATTTTTATTGGTAGCTATCATTACCTAGAATTTTACTTAAGTAAGATACACATTAAAATCTATAACGTGAGTAGGTACTACATTTTAATATGTAAACTTCAATAATAGTTTGGTACACTATGATAGGCAGATGTTGAATTACGAAAATGTGTCAAGATTACAAACTTCATCTTCCTTTATGCGCTATGAGGCGAACACATTCCTGTGTTTTTTTTATTGAACGATTTTAACACACAGAGTTGATCAAGACAGTTAAGCCCGACTGGGATAATTTTTTTTTTGATACTCGAAGCAAGGACTTCTCGTAACTAAATCTTCGTTTGACCATTGGGTGATGGAGGCGGACGACGAAAAAAATAACCTACTTAATTGTCTATTAAATTCAAGCATATTGAATTTTATTACCGTTCAAAAAATATATGAATATAAGAGTATTTTTCTAGACTTAGATAATCACTTCAGAATTATTTATGGCTACACGTACCTTCTTTATCGAGCATAATTCCGTTAGTCTCCTCGAGTCTGAGTGGTTCGCCGATGTGATACTGAAGTAGTTTTAGCTCGGGATTAATTGTTACACCAGCTTCGCTCCATTTGAAACGCACTTTCTGATTACTGTACGAAACTGCCGAATAAATGATCTTTATTAATAGCGCTCTCCGTGTAAGCCGAGAATGCCTCGTCAAAGATTAATGGATCCAACATTACGGTCTTCTATAAATCTCTAATATATTAAAATGTTTATAGATTTTGGTGATGTTATTGTATCCTTAAGACTTGTATCAGAAGAACAATGGCCAAATCGTACCCGACAGCGGCCAGATATGTGGTATACATCAAAATCCAAAAAAATCTAAATTCGATTATTTTGTAATTGTAGATTGTTAAAAACTCATAATAGAGCCAGGAAAAAAGGATATGGTCTTTTTCCTCATACGGGATAGTATTTAAACGTCAAAGTAAGTCAAACCCTTTATGATTTGTTACTGGTCGCGAAAATTTTTAGTGAGGTACAGTCCCTATACATATTTGGCCATTGTTCTTTTGGTGTTTGTCTCAAATCTACGTATTTCTACATACTAATACCGCAAGGTTATAAAGACAAAGAATAGGAATTGATTATTCAATTGTAAACTTTTAATGTATTTTCTTTCCTTACAAGCAAGTTGTGTTTGTTTATGTATTTGTAAAGATGATAATAAAATGTCCGTGACATTATATGTTTATCTTTTAAGATTAACTGTTAGACATAACATATTAGTCTTGCAAATAACAAAATAACGTTTGCCGGAGCAGATATTCTGTGTAGTATATTTCATAGTAAACAATATTTTATTTGCTAGCACTGGCAAGACGCAAACGTATAAATAGCGACGTCCCGTGCCAATATTTTTTATGGTAAAGGACAGCCGTGCATTATCTATACAAGATGTGCTGCAGATTCGAAAATCGACAAGCTTAATTCATTTCTCAGATAAAGATGGCTATTTCATTAGTAGATTAGAGCAGCGATTTTGAACTGTTGTCGTGATTGAGAACATTCTCTCGTCGTATATTAAGTACTATCACGAAGATATGTTATGTTTTTCATAAGATGTGAAAATAGAAAAAACAACGTCTAAGCTTTTGTCTGTTTTATTTATAACATCATAATGTTATGCACATCTGGGGTCCTACTTATATTAAAGCACAAAATCCCAAAAATTGGCACAACGATAAGCCCCGCTTGTTTCTCCTAATATCTTTTACGACGAACAGATGGCGTTAGGATAGCACATTCGGTTTTGACAATACGCACATTTTCAATTTTTGGGTAAGTTCGGCTACTGCTAAGTATCCGAATCGATAGGTTTCGCATTTTAGACTGTTCAAATTGTTTCATTCAAACATTACTTTCTACTAACTCTTCCAGGAATTTACGTCAGTCAGAACAGAAAGCTATTGTCTTCGTTTATGTAAATTATGATCCGTCTGCGAAATATTAGGGGAAATGCTACGAATTCCAATACTTTAGAATTTGAAAGGTTCTTTGTAAGTCGAATATATATTAGCAGTATTTAATTCTTCAAATCAAAGCTTATTTTTAACAAAGTTGAACTTATATTTTCAGTTTATTTTAACACAAGTTCTTCCAGTGCAGCTGCATAGACACGTAGGTATCAATGCGGTATTAAACAGAAGTAGAAAAACATACAACTTTTATATAACGCAGTGCGATGCGTTAAAGCCTATGTAGCAATTTTGCTAATGATATTGTCTCACGAAAAGCATAATTCCTCATCAATTATTGACACTTACAGCTCTCGATATAAATGGGGCACGACTGTATGTCCATGGGATAGAGTTGAAATTCCATCTGGCAAGCGATGATGGCATGCATCCTGGCTGCGTACCGAACTGTTTGATTCCTGTATAGGGTGACTGATGAGAATTTGTGCGTCAACTCGGCTATCTCTGTAATTAAATTTAAATTATAATAGAACTGTGTACTTTACGCGAGTAGTACATATTTCAATAAAAGGCTTAAAACGCGAAATATTAACTGACTTATTTTAAATTTTTAATTACGGCCCGACATTTCAGATACTTTTCAGTAGTCGTGGAGGACTGAAGATATAGATATAGTTTTAAACGGCAATAATGTTCTATTTAAAAAAATAAAAGTAATAAAATTAGTAAAGTGTCAAATTGTACATCATATTAACATATTATTTCTAAAAACTGTGATACAATAAATAGATGATATTATTAAAACCACACACACGCTACAACAGCCGTCGCCGGTGAAAGTTCCTAATATTGATAAATACTTTTAGCTAAGGTCGTCTGTTTTAAAAGAGTAAAGTTAAGTGCTAAGTATAAACGTTGAGAGACTATTGATATCATAATTAGTTCAAGTATTTTAATATGCGATATTCTATTATAGAATCTACTAAACTATATTTATCATTACACTTATAAAAAACAAACGAGTTTGCTTGTTCTTTGCAACATATTGTGTACGCTATTTAGTGTAAATTAGTGACCAAAACCCACAGTACAGTGTTTTTTAAGTGCCGGTGCTAAGTGCCTTAGAGCAAAATGCATACCAGCCGACTGATGGCAAAAGTGACAGTCCCCTCCTAGAAGGTAAAATAAGAATTAGTGAACAGGAATAGGTTATTTACTGATCAAAAGGAATAAAGATACTGCTCACAAAAAGTTACTTTAAATGTGTTTGTTGCGAGATAAAGTTAAATCCTAAAAAAGGAAGAATAAAGATTTATAAAAGTAGACGTAGTAGACTTGCATATTTTTTAAATTATATAGTTAAAAAAAATGTCCTATTTCACAATTGATACATTCGTATATAAAAAAATTGATTGTTAAGTATTGTCTGTGGTTAACGCGAGCACACATTTAAATAAAACACTTTTAATGGCTGCAGCAAAGCATTTGAAACGTCGTAAAATAAATTTAAAATACGTTAACTAATGTATTTCGCGTCTTGTTAAACTAAAAGTGTTTAAAATTCGTTGTTATTTTACGATATCGAGCGAGTTAAAACCCTCGAAAAGAACAAGCAAACTTACGTTTGTTACTGAAATAAGACTGCTCACAAAATTAATTATGAGTACAGAAGTTAAATTTAATTATTAAAAACCCTAAACAAAAATATTGTATCAAGTAAGCATTAATAATACTATTCAACTATTCCCAAGATGATTCGTAAAATAATTAATTTCGAAACAAAGAAAACGTTAATTAAAAAAAAATAATAGATCCTTTTGAAATTAGTGAGCTATCTTAGAAACAACAATTATAATTCAAATATTGTTTTTGCTCCTTTATTGTATAATTTTATTTACGTGAAATTGTTTCGGAGGATGGAATATGTGAAAAATGGAAAATATTTTCTCCGTGTCGCACTAATCTGCTTATGAATACGTCTTAGATAGATATGTCAAAGGTCATTGAATTATAATCTAGCAACAAACAAAGAAAATAACACGACAGAACAAGCTAAACATTATATTTAAAAATAAGTTAATTTGAATTTGAATCTACTTTTTAATGTATATCTCGGAGTTTGATGAAAAATAAATTACGACGGCATTCAATGCGTTTCGTGTTCCCTACCTTAACACGGTAGCATAATTGGTTCGAGCATGAAAGGCGATGGCTGCCGGTTGAAGTCCCACCCGTGTCGTAATTTTTTTTCAATCAATATACATATTTACTTTATAAGAAAGCATTTGATATTACTCTTGTAATAAAGGAATGACTCTTAACAGAAAATCTATACATTATTTAGTTTTCAATAATGATCCTTTATCGATAAAATATTTAAAGGTTGAATAATATTTTTGTTTAAAGTCTCTGTGTTTGTTTTGTATAAATTCAGAGAAAGTACAATTACTTCAGCAGAATTTCCACTAGTTCTTGACGATTTGTTTTATATCATTTATTATTCCCAAGGCCTATTATTCTTGAAATGGATTTTAACCTTACCTGTGACTTTGGAATTTAAGAAGTAAGGGTCCGGATGCCATAGATTGTCAAAGAATTCGGGCGGCAAGGTCACGTGATCATCCCCCTCTTCGAAAATATCGTCTGGGAGCTGCAAGCGGCTTTCTGTCCAGGTCTGTCTGATAAACATATCCACTCTGGAAAATTCGTACACAACTTTTCAGTCCATGCTTTTCCTATATTTAGAAAATAATCGGAACTATTCCTATGGGCTCAGACGGTATCTAAAAAAATAACTATTTAACGACGATCGATCCAGCGTTTAAAATTATATATGTAACATTACTACAAATTTTGTCTACATTATTTCATCAAAAAACAGATTCCCCTAAATTGGTCTCAAAATTTAATATTGGAGTTTCACCTAAACACCCTCGAGTGATCACACCTTTTGTGTCTTCTAAACGGATATGGATCACATTTTTTAATACCCACATTCTGCAAAATTGGTAATTCGTGCAGTCGCGTGATGGGACAAATAAACCACAAATAGTTAAAAGTATATATCTACCAACTCAATTTTAGTAATTATGATTTGTTCTTTTAGTCATGATCTCATAAGTCCAAACTTATCTTTAGTAATTTTAATATTTAAGCATTTACCAATAAATGTTTATAACATTTTAATTATGTATTTTTTTTTGTATAAATAACTTCATCCGTGAGAACCGTTATTTTGGGCAGCCAAATGCGTTTTAGCAAACCCCTTCATATTTATAACCCTATGCTGTTAGCCCCGACGTCAGTCGCGTCCCTTCGCGTCGTTCTTGCAAGTTTATCTTAAAAGATAGACTTATAGCGTTGCTGACTTTTTTTAGATAATTTCAAGAGAAATCATTCTTTTATACATTTTTTAAATGCTCTCACCAATACAAACATATTTTTTTTATTCGAACCCGTAGATGTTCCTGAGATCAGCGTGTTCAAACAAACAAACTCTTCTGTGTCAGCTGTGCATAAATGTTGGTAAACTTACAAATAAATATATAATTATATTATTTTTACTATACCTAAAGTCCATATCTTCAACATTAATAGAGTTAACATCCACCACGTATATACTGAACTCTACAGTGACAGGTTGTCCCTTGCGCGAAGGCGGTCTCATTTCTGAAACGTAATAAGCACCATTTAAGACGCGCCCATCGAAGTGAAAGATTTTCTTTGATTCAAGGGAGACATGCTCCATATTTTTTCACCTGACTTAACAAGCGCCTAATACGATATAAAAATTCTCGAATTTTTCCCTCAGAAAAGCTTTTCTTTAAACAAGGGTTAAAACAATTACGCTTCTATATAACCATCATTAGTAAAATAGCATACAACCTGCTCTATGGTCCCAGGTTCAAAGATCGTGGAAGTCGAACGATCAATCCTAAGTTATTTAATGCGAGTAGTACTCATTTAAACACCGTTAACGGTTTAAAAAGTGAAATATATTAGCTTAGTCATTTTTAATCTATTTAACGTAGTTTAATTTCGCGTTTTTAACCGTTTAAAATGTTTTATTACAGTACTAACCTTTTACATATGTTTCTGGTAAAACAACTCGGGGTTTCAGCGTATGATTCCTTTTGGAGACTACGTCATTGCAAAACCTGAAACAACACGACCTTTGATGATGTACCTGCTAATACAGTAGCCACTCTATAAAATAATACTGGCTGACCTGGCAAACGTTCTTTCCCTGTGACGTATTTTGACTAATTTTAATTATACATGCAGTCATAGTCGATGTACATTTTAGATTATTTGAAGAAGAACAATTATTTTAAAACCTTTTTTTTAGTGTTTTGAACCGCTTTCGTTGCACATCTAACGGAAACCCATAAAGATGATACATTTTTCATGTTTTTTTTTACATTTACCACTGTTTTCTTGCTGCTATTTGTCGCTGTCTTATAGGCTAAAACAATCCTCGATAAATGGCCATACCAACACACAAAGAATGTTTCAGTTCAAACCAGTTCTTCCTAAAATGACCGCGTGGAAACAAACAAACTTTTCGACTTAATAATATAAGTATAGATTCTTGTGTAAGCGGGCAGCACCGAGTATTAAATCCTAACGAAATGATTGTCTAATGTACGGAATGCCAAGACGGAATTTTTGAATTACTTAAAAATTGTATTCAGAAAATTCGCCTGAAAATTTCATAGCTTTGATATTAATATTGAAAACGGTGGTCAGGATGCAAAACGCGAAATCTCCATAACGAGGAAATCTGGAAAAGTATGCAAATTATTTAAAACAGCCGAAGTTTTAATTTTTGCAGGTATATTTCCGTAACTCATACAATTTGAAACTTCCTGTTGCCATTGTCGTAAGGGCGAGTACGATGTATGTATAATAATTATTTTTCCATTTCGAAACTGTATATGAATACAAGCTCTATTAAAGATACAATTTTGACGATGCAGCGTGGCAGGTCTTCCACGACCACAGTGTGCTGTGCTGTTGCTCTAATAATTGAGACACGCTAGCTCAATTGGCAGAGCTACATCACACCAATATGCAAAACTGTTTCCGAGGTAAATGCTTAAAATAAATGTAATAAAAAAATCTCTTAACGTTTTACGCCGTTAAAAGTGTTATGTTCAAATGTCTTCTACTCGTGTTAACAATAGACAATACGTAAGTACGAAGTCAATAAGGGGTTGTTTTTATAACAAGGAAGTACCGTTTGCTTGTGGGGAGGTGGAATACCACAGCTATATATATTATTATAAACCAAATGCGTTTTAAACCTATTTGGTTTTGAACAACCCAGAGATTGAAACTGAAACTCCTTTTCCATCTTAGAACAGCGTTGATGACGCGGACAGAAAACTTTAGAAATAGTTGGATTTGTTGGTGAAAAATGTAGGAAGAATTCCCTTTATACCCATTAGAAAACTTACAAATACAACTTCGCTTATAAAATTTTAATTGTCACGAAGCGCTGACAGGGTTATTTCTATGACGTCAAGGAAAACATAGTTCTATTTTAAGCACACGGACTTATTTGCGACCTCCCTACCGTTCGGAATGTTGGGGTTAATTCTATTCATGCTTGCTTATTACTTCGTGACAATGCATGCGACTGTACAAATTTATATAAAATGTGGTTTTAGGTCTATATACCTCAGGTCCGTTACCGGTGGTGGTGACGTCATTAAACTAAGATGTATGAAGACAAAAGTAAGGGACAAAGTGGGAAGCCAAATCTGTATTTATGTTATCTCTACTAAACTAACAGTCTTAAAAATTGTATATTACAAACCTCCTCTTCATCTTTATAGATGTAATTAAGCTGTTGCCCACAACGTCGGTCGCGTCCCGTCGTTTTTGCAAGTTATTCTTAGATCAAATAAAGAGTAATAATTCTTTTATTAATATTTTTTTGGTATCCTTAACCGTCTTTGTAGTGTAAGCAAAGGAAACCCTCAAAGATGACTAATTTTCCCCGTTTCTTCCACATTCTCTCTATTTCTTCGTTCCTATTGGTTGCAATTTCAAATATATTTTTAAGCTTTACTCAAATGCTCCAACCAACACAAAAATACTATTTCAATTAGAATTCTTTGTCTATATAATAAAGGTATCGCTAAAATAATAATTACCACACTCTTAAACTTTAAATGACAGCTTTTGACGCTTTAAAATTCGAAATTTACTAGTACCATTTGTAACTACGACACAAAGCTCTATATGCTTTGTAGAAGACCCGTTCAACCGCGACTTATGAGTCATCGGGTCATCTTCAATAACTTATATATAGTATATTAATTTTCCAGGTAAATTTTAAACGATGGAATTAAATACAATAAGGCCTTAAAATAAAACACTTTATCGGTTTAAAACGTGATATATATTAGTTAAACTTATTTGAAAATTCACTCGGGGAGAATCCCCGTGACCGCTACAAAACGTGGGGCCGTAGTTAAAAATAAATTTCGAATAAGTTTAACATTACGCTTTTTCAACCGTTAAAGTGTTTTATTTAAATGTGTACTATTCGGTCTAAAGAAAATACGAAAGACATGGACATATAACGAGGTAAACTTTTATAGAGCCATAGCGTGTACAAAGCTAACATAGATCATGTACCCGTCTAGATTCATTGAATAACTAAAACGCTAAGAATTTCTGTGCGACGTTCCGTGCTTTAACAATAAAATCCTTTGTCACGGAAATCGAAATTAATGTTTCGGGTTGCGATGTGAAAATCGAAACGGTTATTTTCGCCGATTTTCCATGCCAAAGCTGAAATTTAATAGGTCCTCGCTATGTCAGAATCTCACGTACGTCTATCAATAAATTCTACGAGATCGAAAGCCCCATTCTACAGCGGGAGCATACTAATGTTGATTTTTTAATGATTTTCTCTAATTGGTTTACCTAAAGTCAAATTTTAAGAGGTCTCGTCTATATATAGTATAATACTAAAGAGTTTTTTTAAGTGCTAATCTCTGGTACTATCGGCTCGTATTGAAAATTTATTTTTGCGCTAAATTGTCCATGTTTCGAGGAAAGCTTTAGTATATATAACAGAATAAATGGATAACTCTCAAGATCTGTTTTTATGGTAATCAAACTTGGTAAAAATTAATGTATTATAACTAAATAAAATAAATAAATACTTCGTAAAGTTGTTTCCAAATAATAATATTAATATTGCAGACAACAAAACAACGTTTGCCGGATCGGCTTAGTGTGGCAAATAAAAGTACTGTATTTTTATTAAAATATTTACGTCTAGCTACGACGGGCGAAGAGCTTTATACAATTAGCTTACGTCTATTTTCCGACAAGAGTTGAAAGACGAAATCAGGTTTACCTTCTTAATAATATTAAACTTTGAAAACATTAATATTTTTCACATGTTATTGCACATGAAGGCACCATATAATTTTAAAAATCGAAAATAAATTGAAAAAATTTTTTCGATTCGGGCAGGACTTGAACCGGCATCGTCAGCTTTCCGTGCTGTCCGTGATTTCTTAAGCTGCAAAGCATAAGACGTTGAACCTTAGTACGCAAGTGTTAAGATTGAAATTACACTGCGCGAGAGGTGCATGTATCAATAAGTTGAAAAAATTCGACGATGATGCACGGAAAGCTGACGATGCCGGTTTAACTCCTGCCCAAGTCGAAAAAATTTTTTCAATTTATTTTCGATTTTTAAATAATATTAAACTTGTTTAGATTCTTAAAATTAAATAAAAGTATACGTGATTCAATCAAATAAAGATCAATCGTGCAGTTTGAACAAGTATATAACTACTTTGTATTTCGCTTCATATATCAGGAACTATTTCAACTAATTCGCAAGCAATTAATTTTTAGCTCGACATTCATAAAGAACTATATTCAGGCCAAGGCTGTCATCGATTGTTTTACCACACGCCATGTCTCTTTCTCATTGTCCTTTTATGGCGTTAGTTATTTAGTTTACCAATATAATTATTACGATTTAGTCACAAAGGTAAAGGCCCACATTAAAAAACCGAGAAATTCACATTTCTTTATCTCCAAGGGGTAATGTACCTATGGCTAATAATCAACGGGTCGGACTTAAACCAAAACATTATCAAACGTCACGGCTTTTTCTCCAGTGGACGGTCTTTCGTAACGCCGACCGAATTTAGATTATCTTACCACCCGTTAAATTAAACTTACCTTTAATCCTATATATTTATGTTATTGTCTTAACATTGAGGTATGTTAACATTACTATTTGTTTAACTTCTATGAAAAAATAATACTTAATTCATTATGACGACAGATTTTTTTTTATACACAGTAATACCCTACCCCCGGCTTACGCTACCCTGTTTTACGCAAATTCGAAGATACGCGGTTTTTAATTTTGATTGCCGCGCGAATCGGCTCTCGCATGTTCCGCGTGAAGTTGTTTTAAGTGCGCAGTGCGTTTTACTTATAATTTCTAATTATGTCGTCTAAAAGAACGAAAAATGACACATACACTTTATTAAACATTTTTCTTCTAAATTATTGTTTTCTTTAAACTCTGGGCCCGATTAAACAAACTTTATATGTATTTATATGCAACGTTGAACCTCGACTTACGCGAATTCGACTTACACGGCAACCGCTGGGACCCATGTAATGATGAACTCTAAGATGAAACTTAGCGATAAAAAAAATGGCGGCGAGTTTTGTGCCAGTTCTTCTCGTTCATTCTAC